GAAGGCATCCTCCCAGGCCAGGACCCGACACTGGGGGCCCGGTGCGGGCAAACTTTCGGCTCCCTGCCCAGAGCCTCCCGGGACCCCCGGACTTGCCTCTGCCCACGAAGCCCCGCCCTCGGCCGGCCTCCCCAGCCCGCGCCCCCCTTGGGCTGCGCGCGCGCCCCAGCGGGCTCCCAGGCGCGCCTCCGCGGCCGGCCCGGCCGGCAGAGGGCGGGGTCGCTCACCGGTCCGCAGCTCGTGCTTGACAGTGAGGAGCTGCTCGCCGCCGTCCCCGCTGGTGCCCGCGCCGCCGCCGCTGCCGCCGCCCTCCCCCTCCATCTTCACCCTCTTTCCGATCGCGCGGGTCGCTCTGAGGGGACCCTGATGGGACAGCAGACGCCCCGTCTCTTCCCAGCCCCAGGAGCCGAGCTGCGGCAACGCCACAACTCCGTCGCCGAGGCGAGTCTCTTTCCCGCTCTGGCCGCGCAGCTCCTCCGCCTCCTCCCCTCAGCGGGCACCGCTAGTACGCCGCAACCCCGCGCCCCGCGCCTCCACCTCCTCCGCCAGGCCGCTCCGCCCACAGCCTGCCAGGGAGACGGCCCGAGCCCCCAGCGCTATTGGGCGCAGTGCGCGCGCGTCTGCGAGCGCCCGTTCCCATTGGGCGGCCGGCCCAGACGTTTCACGAGCCGCCCCGCCCCGCTGCTCGAATTGTTGTTGCTTGGCGGGGAGGCAGGAGAGGGAGGAGCGCGGACGCTCCGATTGGCAAGACCCAAGATTCGGCCCCACCCACTGGCTTTGGTGCGCACGCGCACGGAGGCCTTCCCTCTCCTGACCTCCCCAGAATGGTCACACCCCTTATTCCCCAGCTTCGATCTGTTAGTAAACAGAGTCTAGTAGTCAGGAGGCGCTTCGGACCTCTGATTGGCTACTGCGGAAAGAGGCGGGGAAAGGTGATTGGGCCGTTTGGTCCGCCAATCACCGTGGACAAAGGAGGGTCCTGCTGAGAAGCACTTGTCACCCACGTGTTTGCGCGCGCGTGTAAGAGACCTCGGACGCGATGTAGAAATGCGTGACCGTCTGGGAGATGCCATGTCCTCGTAAGATGTTATTCGCTGTAGTTAGTACTAAAATAAGTTAAGTGGATTTTGTGTTTAAGTACAGGGGCCGGCGAGATGGTTCTGTGGGTAAAAGTGCTCGCGGACAGCCAGAATGCAACGCCCCTTAACTGAAAAGAGAGAACGAACAACTTGCCCTGGATACAGTTCTACAATACCCATCACACACACACTCACACACACAAAGCAAAAACAAGTTTTTAAAAATTAAGTAAATACAGGTAGTTCCTACATAAAAAGCCAAGGTTCTGGCTCACGATGAGAAATTGGTTTTTTTTGTTTTGTTTTTTTTCATTTGTAGCTCAGTACAACCTTGACCTCCGGTCCTTCTGCCACCACCTCTCAAGTGCTGGAATTAGCAGCATGTGGTGCTGGAGACTGGACCTGAGCTTTATGAATGCTAGGTAAGCATTCTCCCAATTAAGCTACATGTGCATCCCACATTTTTGCATGTTTACCAGACTCTTCCCAGGCACCAAAGGGTGTGTAGAGCCATGAAATAGGATACAATTCCTGCTCTTGAACAGCCCTTAATAGAAATTGAGAAATGGACAACTTGCATAATATACACAGAAAACTATAAATAATTTAAACAAATCTGGAGCAATATAAACCATTGGAGAATCGAACAGATGGCAACAATCATTCTCAAGGTTTTGGGGGCAAGAAGGAAATCTGAACAGTCAATTTAAAGGACAAGTAAGACAAAAATATCACTGCCGACATTTCACACAGGTAACTGTGAGCCTCAATCAACAGGAGACCAAGTACTGCTAGGTGGAATGATTGATAGTCTGAATGGAAATGTAAGAGAAACAAAGCAATAGGCAAGGTGAGTGTATCTTTATTATTCTTCTTGCTGGAAAAAAAAACCTTCCAAAGGCAACTTAAAGAGGGAGGTTTTTTGGCTCACATTTGAGGATAGATTGGATCATAGAGTGGGGAGGCATAATGGTAGAATCAGGAGACCACTGACCTGATGTGTCTGTTGTAGTCAGAAGCAGACAGAGATGAACCATGGCAGTCAGATTTCTTTTTATTGAGTCCAGGACTCCAGCACATGGGATGGTGCTGCCCACAGCTAGGGCAGATCTCCCCTGTTAAACCTCCCCAGAGAAAACCTTAGAAGAGACACCACCAGGTTTGTCGTCTAGGTGATTCTAAATCCAGTCAAATTGAGAATGAAGATGAACCATGTCAGTAAGACAATGGAGAATCTTAAATGCTATACTGAATTGCAGATTGTATTAAGTGCATGAGAAATCCCACATACTAGTTAGAAGAGCAAAGCCATTCTCTTGTAACTCGTTATTTTATATGCGACTAAAAGGAAGGGAGAACTCTCAGGGAAGGAATCTACTGTGCGTCTGGCACTGTAAGCTTAATTTATGGTAGCAGAAATAAATGATAATGAGAAAAGACATGAACATAAATAATCTAAAAATGATCTTCTAAATTGAGCATGGATTAAATAAGGGACTGGCAAACTACTTTCCTGTTAGAGGCCAGATAGCAAATTCAAGGTTCTCTGAGCCATATGCTCTCATTTATAACTACTCAACTCCACTGGAAAGTAGTCAGAACCAGAAATAAATGGCTGTGCTCCCATAAGATGGCTTTTGTTCCCTTTGGTTTTTCGAGACAGGGTTTCTCTGTGGCTTTGGAGGCTGTCCTGGAACTAGCTCTTGTAGACCAGGCTGGTCTCGAACTCACAGAGATCTGCCTGCCTCTGCCTCCCAAGTGCTGGGATTAAAGGTGTGCGCCACCAACGTCTGGCCCCATAAGATGTTTTAATAGATATTGAAATTTGAATTTCACATGTCATAACACAGTATTGTCTTAATATCTTTCCAATTGTTTAAAAATACAAAACCCATCCTGAGCTCATGGGCCTTTAGAAATAGACAGTGGTCGCTATTTGGTCTCCATAGTTGACAGATTGCCGCCTCAGGTTACCATGAAAGAGAAAACAGGAACATCTCTGGAGCCCCCGTTAGATATAGCTCCCTGGATTAACCTGCCCAGAATGCCTGTTCCTCTACACCGTGACTACCTATTTAGCTGTGCTATTTGGAACCAAGCAATGGCTGGATGCAATTGTTCATTTGTTCATTCAACAACTTCCACACCCATTATGTACCAATTACCGTGGTAGGTGTCAAGGACACAGTGTACACAAAACAGTTGCCATCCTTGCTCTTTATAGAGCTTTCAGTTAAAGAATGGAAATAAATTCTAGGTAATCACATAAAGAAATTGCAGGCTTTCCATTATAATCACACCGTAAGGGGAAATGGGACCCATCAGGAGTACCTAGTTTAGGTTAGAGTTGCTGCAAGGCCTTGGTTTGCAAGTATTTTTAATTCTGAATCTTTGAAGATGAATAAAATTTTAACCAGGACTTTGAAGAAACTGGCCTAATGCTCACCAATCTCATTTCCTCTTCTTGAGCGAACAGGAAGAATGCTTTGTTTTGTTCTGTTTTTTGTTTTCTAGACAGTGTTTCTCTGTGTAGCCTTGGTTGTCCTGGAACTCTCTCTATAAACCAGGCGGCCTGGAACTCTCAGAGATCTGTCTGCCTCTGCCTCCCAAGTGCTGGAATTAATGGTGTGCACCATCGCCATCCAAGAACTTCCTTTTTCTGTCCCTTTGCCAGAAACTGCAAAGTTAATAAAATGCTGAGTGCTGACATATACTGCCTCCAGCCTTGAGCAGAAAATATGGCTCCTTGGATGTTAGTGTCACAGGCCTAAGGGACAAAATCCTTGATTTAGAGTGGTGTGTCTCAAAAGGGAGAGGGGACTTACATTGCTGAGGAAATGCTTAGAACAGCCATCTAGCTATGTTAGGTTAACAGTTTTTGAAAGTAGCTCAATTTTGTTTAGTTATCTTTCAGTTTGATTATATCAAGAACATCTTAATATGATGCCAGTAGTCTTCCGTGTTGCTGTAATTCGTGCTAATCTCCCTTCCTAACAAAGAAAAGACTTAGCTCCCAGTGAGAAATATATCTAGCCAGAATCTTCTTGTCTTCCTTGATTGTTTTAAAAGGCAGGCAGATCTCTGTGTTCAAGGCCAGCCTGGTTGCACAGTGAGCTCCAGGACAGCCAGTGATACAGAGTGAGACCCAGAGAAAGACTGGGAAGGGGAGGGGATAAAAGGGGAGGGGAAGGGAAGGGAAGAGAAGGGAAGGGAGGGAGGGAGGCAGGCAGGCAGGAAATTCCTATTTAAAGAATGTGATACAGGTTTTCCAATTATGATAGTGGTATGACTCTAGCAGAAATCGACCTAGAAAAAAGGATATTGGTTTTAATAGTGGTAACAATAGATGGATGGAACCAGAAACTACTGTGCTGAATGAGGTAACCCAGCGCCAGAAAGGCAAATGCCACATGTTCTCTCTTGCTTTGGTTCCAGCTCGGAATCTTCACAAGTGAGTATGCAAACAGGAATCCCCACAGAAACCGGGAAAGGAAAGGGGGATCCCAAGCAGGGGTCAAAGTATCTCAAGGAAAGAAAATGGCAGGAAACAGGCATTGGGAGAACTACAGAGGGCTTTAACTGGGGATGGGGGAGAGACCAACACAGAGGGAAAGGAAAAGGATAAGTAACAATAAGGGTTTGAAAAGCCATGGGGAGTTATGCTTTTTTATGTTTTGGCTTTTTGGGGGGCATTTGGGGGGCTCATTTAAATAAAGTTATGTCACTTGGGATGGTAATGCTACTCTCAAAAAGTGCAACAGACTATCCAATAAAAATCCCAGTACCAGGCATGAGAAACGTCCTTTCTAGTTGTCTCTCAGGGTACTTAAGAGTCTCCCAAAACAAGGCAGGCTATTTCTGTTGCCCTTGACTGAGGGCACATGTCAGAGCACCCTGTAAAAAACACAAAAAACACGTTTGTATCTTTCCATGTGTCAGAGTTTATTGGTTAACAATAAATCCACAAACTATATCAGTTTCATTATCTGCAGTTTAACAAGTAATTTTGATTTCCTTTGATAGCATGGCCTTTGGCAATCCCAGGCTCTTTTATTTTTCAGGTTTAGTTTTTACTGTTTAATTGCATATATTAATGTGAACTTGCACATGAGTGCAAGTACAGAAAGAGGCCAAAGGAGGCATTGGATCCCCTGGAGATGGAGTGACAGGCAGTTATGAGATGCCAGATGTGGTGCTGGGAACTGAACTCTGGTCCTCTGTGAGAGAAGTATGCCCTGAACTGCTGAGCCATCTCTCAAGCCCTATTACATTTTTTATTCCAATCTCAATTATTAACATTAACTCTCAGATCACACATTATATTTCACAGAGTGATATGTGTGAGACACACACACACACACACACACAAATACAGAATGTTTACAAAACTGTTGAAGTAGCCTTTCTAAAGATTGAGTCAGGGATCTGATATGGGTTCCAAAAGAATCATTACAGGTGGTTAGATGCCGTAATTAGCACAGTTGGAGAGCTGCTGAGAGTCTCCAGAGGCATGGGCAGTGTGGAGGGAAGGCACAGGATTGGCTCAAGATGGATGGATGGATGGATGGCTGGGTGGATAGCAAGCAATTTCGTGTGACTCATGTCAGGCAACGAGACTGTGCTAAGCTGAAGCCCTGGAGACCGTCAGTTTCTGCCTGTTGGTTCCTTGATGCATGGTCATCGGGTGGTCAGGTAACAGCAATTGTCACTGTAGTGTTAGGTATTTCTCATTTTATGGGGTCTGCGTGATTTTGCTGCATCCTTCATTGGCCTAGAATGCTCCATAAGTTCACAAACTTAGATTTTTTTATACGATTGCATTCTACTTTTAAAAAAAAATCATAGATGAACTTTTTTTGTACTTGTATGAATAATTATTATTCTGTGCCTTATGATTCATGCTGGACAGGTGGTGGTGTCTATGTATACAAACTAGATGCCGAGTCATTCTGCTTCTGTATTTATACTCAGAATGGAGTCAGTTGCTGCTTTTTAAAATGGAGTGTTTTAGTTAGGGGTTCTATTGCTGTGGAGAGACACCATGACCACAGCAACTCTTATAAAGGAAAACATCTGATTGGGGGTGGCTCACTTTGCAGTTCAGAGGTTCAATCCATTAGTATCATGGTGGAAAACAAGACCATACTCAGGCAGCCATGGCGCTGGAGAAGGAGCTGAGAGTTCTTACATTTTGACTCACAGGCAACAGGAGGTAGACTGTCTCACTGGGTCCTAGCTTGAGCAAAGGAGACCTCAAAGCCAACATGCACATTGACACACTTCCTCCAACAAGGCCATGTCTCCTAATAGTGCCACTCCCTTTGGGAACCATTTTCTTTCAGACCACCTCATGGAGCCACTAGAAAGTTCTTCATGGTGGCACACACCTTTAATCTCAGGAATCTTGGGAAGCAGAGATGGACAGAGCTCTGTGAATTTGAAGCTATCCTGATCTACAGAGTTCCAGGCAACCAGGGCTATATCATCTTACAAGCAAACCAACAAAGGAAAAAAATGGAATCACCCAGGGCAAGGCATAAGAGAGAGTAACTTAAAGCAGGGCACAGTTCATCTCCACAGTCAAAATCCAGGAGAAACCAGGCTGCAATTTCCTATTTCTGTGGTCTGTGGCCTCCAAGTCAAGCATCTCCTGGAAATGGAAGGATGAAAGGGAGGGGGGAATAGATGAGGCAAGCCTAAGGGCCCAGGGATGTTAGGGACTTCAGTAGCCTCCCACAAAGCAGCATCCGAGAATCTCAGAGACATGCCTCAAGGAGAAGAGTATTTCAGAATCACACCAAAGGTAAGCTGTCAGCTGCCTGGAAATCCTTCTTCCTCCTTTGGCCATGCTGTTTAACAAATAACTTTCCACTGTGTTGGAGAAAATTACAAAGTTTCTTCTCTCTGAAATTAGGAAAAATAAAAATGATTCAAACAGGAGTTTCAGGACTATAAATAAGGAATTCTAGAACAACAAAAGTAGGGGGTAAATTGAGCTACAGAACTCAAAAAGAAAAAGAAAAAGAGGAAGCTCTTTCAACTCAATCAAAACCAGAATAAACACAAGTGAAAACACAATGGAACCTTATGAGAAAAATACAAAGAAATAAAAATTGTTAAGGAAAAACGGACTATAGCGTTCTAACATGTGCATAATTGGCATTCCTGAAGTACTGAGAATAAGTGGAACAAGAGAAGAAAGTTAACTTAAACGAAAACTTAAGTCCATAGGCAGAAAGCACATACTGTGTGTATCTTAGTTAGGATTTCTATTGCTGTGGAGAGACACCGTGACCACAGCAAATCTTATAAAGAAAAACAGTTAATTGGGGTGGCTTACAGTTCAGAGATTCAGTCCATTATCATCATGGTGGGACATGGAGGCATGCAGGCAGACACAATGCTAGAGAGGTAGGTGAGAGTTCTACATCTTGTGCAGGCAACAGGAAGTGGTCTGTCTCATTAGGTATGGCTTGAGTGTATTTGAGATTTCAAAGCTCACTTCCATGGTGATATACTTCCTCCAACAAGACCACACCTACTCCAAGACCACACCTCCTAATAGTGTTACTCCATTTGAGGGGCATTTTCTCTCAAACCTTCACAATATGTCAAGGTAAAAATGGTTGCAGAGTAATCAGTAATAAAATACACAAGATAAACGTAGTCAAGAGTAGGGACTGGGGTGGAGCTCATTGGTTCCCATCAATAATAACAATAATGATAATGATGGTGACCAATTAATACTTAATGTTAAATGACAGTAAAGCCCTACAAAATTTAATAAGATAAAGATATGATTAGTGACTCATATTCTGCCAAGTTATCCCTTGGTTATAAAAGCCACCAACAGTTGTTCCTGGGAATGCATAAATTTAGGGTTGCCATATCATCGGAAAAACTGTTCATTATGAGGAATTTCACTCAACCAAGAAATGAACCAAAAGAAAGGATGTAGCTAAGATTTCTTTATATTGTTAGCTTCCGAGTAATGACACAGAGACTTTTTATTAGTTATGAAAACTTGGTGTTAGCTTAGGCTTGTTGCCAGCAAGCTCTTAAGCTTAAATTAACCCATAACATCATGGGTCAATTCCATTGGTCAATTCCAGATCTGCCAGGATCACCTACTTCTTACATTATACTTTTGTTCTACCTGGACAAGTTTTCAAATAACTTCCTAAGAACTTGTATGTCACAGGTCAATTTCCAAGCCCTGTTTCTCCCAGAAGATCTTTATCCTATGTTCACCTTTGACTGATATTTTGGCTAACTATGATATTCTAGATCAAAGGTTATTTCCCCTTGGAATACTAAAGGCATCACACTATTGCCTCTATAAGAGTTTGGAGTTGTCAGTGAGAAGTCTGGTGTGTGTTTTGCTTCCATTCCTTTATAGCCAGCCTTTTCTTTATTTTGTAAAATTTTCAATTGCTTGCTTTCTTTCTTCCTTTTCTTCCTTCCTTCTTTCTTTTTTCCTTCCTTTTCTTTTGTCCTTCTTTCTTTTTTTCAAAGCAGTGTTTCTCTGCATAGCCCTGGCTGTCCTGGAACTCTCTCTGTAGACCAGACTGGCCTCACACTCACAGAGATCTGCCTGCCTCTGCCTCCAGAGTGCTGGCATTAAAGGTGTGTGCCACCACTCCCCAGCCTCAATTGTTTTCTGTCTTAGATGGTCTAAAAAAATCAGATTATATGACAAATTAGTTGTTTTTCCAACTCTGTACCTTTTTAGTCAAGATATATGGCCATCAGTGTTGAGAGGGTCTCTTCCTCCTCTTCTCCTCTTCTCCTCTCTTCCTCATCCAGTTTGCTTTTCTATACAATTAAACTTAATTTTACTCAGTATTAGTCTTTACAGGAATCCATTCAGATGATAAATTCCAAATACTAATGCTTTATTCCCAGGAAGTAAAATTGGGTTCACTGAAAACAAACAAGCATATGTGACATTCATATGCTTACACCTTCATTTCTTGTTCCATCAACTAAGAGTGTGGCACCCATGCCACAAGCAAGTCCAAGGTATCAGGAAAAGAAAGACAAGACGTCCAGCCGTTTGTACTAAGAGAATGCATGTGCTGCCTTTATTGTCAGGAGAGAGAGAGAGAGAGAGAGTATGTGTGTGTCTTTATTGCAAGTGCTAAGAGGGCTCTTTCTTGTAGAGATGGAGGAGCCTTATATACAGGCTTACAGCACAGTCAAAAACCCCAGGAGGTAAGACAGCATGTTTTCCTCCTGCTAGATATTGATGTCAGAGGGTCAAGGCTAGGGCAGGAAGCCAGGAGTAGAAAACAGGAAGCACTTGGACTGGATGGACTTGTTGACTTACAGAGACCCCTTGGGGGCTGAGGTCCAACATAAGAGTCTCTTTCTCTCTGACCACCTTCTCCTCTTCCTCTTCTTTATCTCTTCCTCTCTCGGTCATTTTGTTGTTGTTATCCTTGGTTTGTTAGTGTGGGTGTGGTGTTTGTGTTTTGTTGAGATAGAGTCTTGCTGTGAAACCCAGGCTATCTCCCTACCTCAGCATCTCAAATACTGGGGTTACGAGTGTGAGCCACCACACCTCATTCTGCCTTGCTTTTGTATGACTTTTCTTTCTGAATCTCCTATGGACTGTTGGACCTCCTGTATTTTTTTCTGGTTCTGTTTAGCTTTGTTACCTTAAAAAAACAAAACAAACAAACAAACAAAAGCACTTAGCTTTTCATTCTACTTTCTGGAAAAGTGGTACAGCTTAAATATTCCAAAGTCCCAGGGGTTCTTCTGTAATTTAATGGTCATGTTTTTAATCAATATAAACTCTTCTGTGTGTCCTCTGTCATGCATCCTATTTCTTCTTTTGTGGAAAAAACATCTTCATCACAAGTCATTCTGAAAACATTAATGGTTCTGTTGGCTTGCACTTAGGTTTTCTTTCTCAACATAACCGTGTCCCCTATATTTGTTGATTTGGGCTGGGTTTTTTTAATTCCCTCTTCATTGTAGTCTTTCTATTTCATAATGAAGTCTTTTCTGATTATGCCTTGATGTCCTTTATTGTTCATTTGTATTTGAAAATGAAACCTCTCACCCTTAGAAGAAAAACTGACTATGGCAGGGCTTGTTTCCCTTCTTTTACTGAAAATAATTTTTTTTATACAGTATATTCTGATTTTAGTTTTATGTCTCCCAGTTCCTCCCCACGTCCCCTCCCATCCAGAGCCACACCCTTTCTGTCTCTAATTAGAAAATAAAACATCTAAGGAATATTAATCCAATAAGACAAATCAAAACAAACAAATCAGAATAGGACAAAATAAACAAGAAAAAGAATCAAAGAAAAATCACAAGAAACTCATATGCAAAGACACACACGTTCACACACTCAGGAACCTCATAAAACTCAAAACTAATAAAAGCCATGATATATATGTAAAGGACCTGTAAGATGAAACAAATTGCCCTGACTTAATATTATAAAACAAAGAACCTCCAAAGATACCATTGGGTGAGCTTTGTGTTGGTCATCTACTACTAGGCATGGGGCCTACCCTTAAGAGCGGTTAGATTCTGCATTGAGACTCCCTTGGAGAAAACTAATTTTTCATTTGCAATTGGCTGTCAATTGGAGATTGCTTCTGTGTTAGGAATGGGAACACGTGCTCACTTTTCCTTTCAGTTCTATGGACCTCATCTGGTACAGACCTGTGCATGCTGCCACAGTCTCTGTGAGTTCATATGTGTACTTGCCCTGTAGTGGATAGAAGACCTTGATTCCTTGGTGTCTCCCATCCCCGCTGGCTTTTGCTTCCCCACTTCCTCTTCTGAAGAACTCCCTGAACCTTGGTGAGAAGTATTGGATGGAGACATTCCTTTTAGGGCTGAGTATCCCAAGGTCTCTGGCTCTGCATATCCTCTGTGGGTCTCTGTATTTGTTCCCATCTGCTGCAGGTGGAAGCTTCTCTGATGATGGCTGAGCAAGGCACATATTTATGAGTATAGTCAAATGTCATTAGGAGTCATTTTATTGCTACATTCCTTTAGCAGAACAGTGGTATTGGGTTTGCTTCCCCTTAGGTCCCTGGACTATCTAGTCACAGCTTCTTGACCATTCAGGCAGCATAGTCCATGGGTTCCATCTTGTGGAGTGGGTTTTAAGTCAAATCAGGTGTTGCTTGGTTACTCCTACAAGCTTTGTGCCACTATTACACCAGCATGTATTGCATGCAGGGCCGCGTTTGTCCATCATAGGGTTTGTAGCTAGGTTGATGTTGACCTTTCACCTTTGGTATCATGCAGAGTACCTTCCAGTTATGGCAAGGCTTGTTAACTGGAAGACTCTGGGGGGGGGGGATAGGAAGTACTGAATATTAAACTATGCCGATTTCCTCCCTCTGGAGTAGTAACAGAAATTAACACTGAAATCTGATAGTGTCTCTAACTCAGAAGAACAGGAAGCCCCTCTTCTTTTCAGCTCTTGAGTCACTTTGCTTAAAGAAAGAATCCCAACCCGAGCACTCACGCTTTGGCGCTGACAGAGCCGCTAGTTAGCGCATGTCATGACTTCCACACAGCCCTGGCAGAGAGTGAGGAAGTAGGCCAAGATCAGAGTCCCTGAGAGGTGGTCCAGTGCCCATGGATGCTTTGCTGTTTGCCCGCTCTGTGAACAGGGGCTGCCCCTCCCTTGCTGGGTGGAACTGAGAGAGACTGAAAGGAGGACCCAGGCTCAATCAGCACTATCTGAGAGCTGCCTCTCCTTCATTAACCACAGCCTGCCTGGAAACTGGGAAGCAGACCAGAAATCATTTCATGCCATCCAGCCCAAGCTTCTGCAGCCATAAAACTGGGACAATAAAAATAGCTGTTTGTACTTCGGAGGATTGTTCCGAGAATCGAGGGAGATAATGTGCAAGGTGGAGGGGTTGTTGATGTGAGTAAACCGTCGCCTCTGTTGGAGAAATTAAGAATGCATTTGGATTGCACAAGGTTGGGAGAGGAAAACAAAAACTGAAAAACACCCCAAGGTTATTCAGTGACGAAATTTCCAGTCATTTCAGGGTTGATGTCATTTCATCTGATGCAATAGACTATAGTTTATTTTATATAATCAAGACTATTTCAATAACACGATGCTTAAAATAACACGATACATCAGAAAAGCTGGAGACTCATCATCCAAAGTCCTTGGAGTATCTTCGTTCCTGTATCTAAATAACGAAGTGGGAGGAGCCATTCTGAAAACACCAGTTATTAGTTTTCAGGGACTTTGTGTGTGCTGATCTGCTACAAAGAATCCCCTTTGCATTTCATGATCTTTCGAGAAATTGACAGAACTATAGTGTCAAGGCTGTGACAGAGTTCCAATTCAACTTGGTGATGAAGAGCAGGCCCTTGCGAAATTCCTTTGGTTGACAAAGTCTAACCTACTCCTGTATTGATAGTGTCTGCTTTGTCATTACTCATCATGAGACAGAATGTGTGCATTTCATATTGAATGGCAGAGATTCACATACATTCACAGAAGCAATTTTAACAACAGACAATTTGAAGATGATACATGCTGAAAGTAGAGGAATGACTAAATAACTCACATTTATAAAATGAAGGGTTTTGCACTTTAGTAATGTTCACCATACAGAAGCATGGCTTTGAATAATGCCCCCGGGATGTGCAATATAGTAAGCCTCTGGAAACCATGAGCAGGTGAGGCTTGCAGCTGTCAGAGGGGAGGCTCTTCACATCAGGAGAACACATCTACCGACCTACAAGGTGACATAAAGACACACTTGAACCTGGGAAAATCCTCAGCAGTGAGCATTTCCTGAAAGGGCTATGTATAAGCTACTACCCCATCAGCAGAGTCACCCTAACAAGAGCCAGACCAGAATTGGAGATCCAGGAGAGACACCTATGTGTAATGCAAAAGAAGCTCTGTGTGCTTACCCTAGAGCTAGCACAAAAGAAAGTTTAAGCTCATTTTAGAACATGCAATGGTCATCTCTCTCTCCCCTCCTCTCTCTCTGCCTCTCTCTCTGTCTCTGTCTCTCTGTCTCCCTGTCTCTCAGTGTCTCTCTCTCTCTGTATGTGTGTGTGCATACATGCGTGCGTGCGTGTGTGTGTGTGTGTGTGTGTGTGTGTGTGTGTGTGTGAGTGTGTGTGTGTATGTGTGTTGTCTCACTTTTAGTCCAGGGGCTGGAGTCTGAGTCATGAAAGACTGTGTTTAAAGGGGTTTGGGAATCTTTTGGAATGAACAACCCAGAAGCAACATCTCAGTAAAACATGGAGAGACTTTACCTGATCACAAACAAAAGTCATACTCATAAATGTTATAGCTCGGTTCTGATAATTGTCTCCTGACTGAGCCTTGGAGTGTTCTAGTGGCTCAAGCCCCAGTGATTGCAGCTGTGGATTATGTCAGGACAGGGGGCTCCCATAAGGATTGTATCATGAGAGACTCTTAATATGTGGGACCTTAGATAATATTGCTCCAGTGTCCTTCTCCTAGTGAACCATGGATGGGATATGTGGCCATTTTGGTCCATTTAAGATCACCATCCAGACTACTGGGTCACTGGCAGGATCTGGGCACAGCATCAGTGATCGCACCTGATGGAGCCGCAGCAGCAGCAGCAGCAGAGTCTGTGGTTGAACAATGGGAGCACTCAGCAGGTGTAGGTTCGAACAGATATGTAGTTGAAGTGCCCTATAAATCACCAAGAAAGGTACTTCTCATATAGGTCTATATTTGAGGTCCTATATGAGAAGGCAGAGCTGAGTAGTAGTGAAACTGGTGACTGGTTGCATTTTTGTCCACACGAAGTAAAGGATTAAAAACAAGGTTATGCATGAATGGGGGAAACTGAGGCAAGGAGAACAATTTTAATAATAATAATAATAATAATAATAATAATAATAATAATAATGTACCCAAAGTTGTAGATCCAAGACTGACCAGCTCTTCTTGACTTCTTTTAATCTACTGTACCATGAAGCTTTTTGGAAGCATCCAAGGAGAACCAGCAATGCTCCAGGTAGAAAATAATGACATGCTGGGGAATACAGTGAGAGCTAAGTAAGGAAGACACTTTGAACTGCATTGTGCGGGAATTGGCACTAATTTTGGTAAGAAAGGAAGGCATGATCTGGAGGTCGGCAAACTGCAGCCTACAGGGCAGCTCTGCTCATTACTTATGATCAATGAGGTAAGACATTTGAATAGTCAGTCAATCTGGTGATAGGGTTGTTAACTTAAACTTCATTTGAATACAGAATCACTCTAAGCTGGGTGGGTGACACATGCCTTTAATTTCAGCACTTGGGAGGCATAAGCAGGTGAATCTCTGAGTTCAAGACTACCCTGGCTTACAGAGCAAGAGTTCCAGGAGAGTTAAGGCCATACAGAGAAACCCTGTTTTGAAAAACAACAACAGAAAGGAATCAGTCCATAGAAGAAAGAGTTACATTCTTATTGGTAGACCTATATAATAAAATATTATATTAAACAATTAGTATATATTTACACACACACACACACACTCTATATTTTCACCAGTAACAATTTGGAGCATGAACTAGTATGCGGGCATTGTAACCCCAGCATTCAGAAATTTGAGGCACAAGAAGAGAAAATTCAAACCCACCCTACATAGTGGAACTCTCTCTCAAAATAATGGAGGCATGCATAATACATATGTATCTATTTAATATAAATTAGATGCTATAGTACTGATGTGCATAGCAACATGAGGCTGTGTAGTTAGACTACTAAGTTCAAATCCTCAAACAGCTACTTGTTAGCTTTATTTCATCAAGCAACCTTCTAAGTCTCATGTATTCCTCATCTGAAAAATTTTTAAGTGGAAATAGTAATAGTATATATTTTATTGGAATTGTATCAGAGTTCATTGATTAGTATATACAAAGTGATTAGTACATAATAAGTGCCAAATAAAAACAAATAATAGTGGGCCGTCAAATGACTCAGCAGGTAAAAATTGCACACAGCCTGATGAAGTGAGTTTGATCTCCGGAACCTGCAGTGCAAGGTGAGAACCAACTCAAAATAGTTGTCCCATGACTTCCACATTCACTTGCCATGTGCAAGCATTGCCAAAGTTCTTAAAAAAGAGTTAATCATGGCATGCGCCTCCTAACACACACACAACACAAAGGCATTTAAAACAGAGTTAACAGTGAACACCCTGAGTATTTCTTGTAGCACTCTCCTGTGTCATCTCTCATCACCGGTAGGTTTCACATAGAGAGACTACTTGTGATCCACATGGCTTTGTGAGAGGACAGCAGCAGAGAGAATAATTCACTGATTCTTGGAGCATGACTTATGGCTGATTAAAGAAATGGCTAAGAGGAAATGGAACAAGGGCCATCCCTTTCTCCTTACCCAGTGAGATGATGATACCTTCTTGTAAGTCACTTCTGGTTACCATCAGAGACACAGTGTTAGCCCAGGTAGTTAGTTTGCTTATTCATTCAGTCTTTCTTGAACCCCTCTGGGAGGCAGGGCTTCAGAAGTTGGAATGATGAATCACAGACAGCACTTGACCTTGAGAAGCCCATGACCAGGCAACAGGAGGCATGGAAACAAGTGTATACAGCAGTCCCTTGGGTATTCTAGAGGAATATGCTTAGGAACCAGGGGAGGTAGAAAGGGGCTTGTTCTCAAGCCCAGGGAATGGAATCTTCATGGCCATGACGATACCTGGGTGAAAGACTGAAGGCTGAGTGGATTCAGGCAATGCATAGTCAGCATTTCACTAAGAGGAGCGGTCAAAACAAAAGCACCAAACACCAAGATGCCAAAGCTCAGAGCTCCAAAGCAATGAGGCTGGGGTGGGGGGGCACCACGAGCTAGTCCACTGAGTCTATATGCCACATCTCCGTGACAGGTGACCTTCAGGATCTAAGAACTCCTGAAGGCTTTGAAACAGAGTGGTACCATGGGGAGAGTTTTGCTTCAGAAAGATTACATTCTAAAATAACTTTGTTTTTTTAATAATACAAGCAAGATCCCCCACATAGACCCTGATTACAGCCTTTCTGGTGCAATTAATATTGGCAGGCTTCTAAGAAACTAAATTCTTTTTGTCTTAATGATTTTCAAAATTTTTATTTTTAAAAATTTGAGTCAGCATCAATAAATCCACTCTGAATAGCTAATGATCGATTTAATTGAATTCCCCTCAAAGCGAAATTTAATAACCTTGAACCGTATTTGTTGGTAAGTGACTTAGAGGTCTGCTTTTGTCCAAAAAAAATGAAAGCTGGTGGTTTGGGAACTTCAATTTTTATGTTGAATTTGCAGTGAAGGAAAATGAATGGGTTATTCCTCACAGTGGGGCTCAGCTGTGGAGTTCTATTCTTCCTCAACCCTCTCATGTGTTCTTTCACTGAACTGGACAGTCTGTCTGTCTATGATGAATATTCTTTACTTTGAAGACATTAGCTTGAGCTCTACAAGTTAAAGAAAAACAGTTGTCAAAAAGAAGAAGAAGAAGTTAACATAGCCCAGTAGGTAGTGAGCTTTCTTGACATGCACAAAGCCCCAGGCTCCATCCACAGCATCACATATAATTAGGTATGGTGGCTGGAGGGAGGTGGAGGAAGGAGGATCAGGATCTTAAAGGTCATCTTCAGCTATGTAGTGAGCTAAAAGCCAGTCTAGATTGTGTGAGGCCCCTCTCAGTCTATCAGTGACCTCCTAACCCAAATAAGCAAGAGTATGCCACGCTGAACTTTTGGGGATGCTGTGAATACTACAACGAACACCAGTGTACAAGTCTCTGCTTGAGTCCTTGCCTCAGTGCTGTGGCTATCTATCTAAAGTAGATTATTGGACCATGTCATAATTCTATGTCTAAGTTTTTGAGGAAACACGTAACATTCTTTAGGGACCAGAATGCGAAATTACAAATGAAACTTGGATATTATATATACAAAGCTCTAAGAAGGATTCCTGTCTGTAGACATACAATAAGAAACTGTAGACTATAACCGTAAGTCCTTGGTTGCTCATCAAAAGATTAGCAAATGAGAGCCTAGGGGATGGGCTCTAGTTACTTGGGATCTGATGCCCTTTTCTTATCTCCGTGGGTACTAGGCATGTACTTGGTCCTGGGATTCCTTGGAACTGGAGTTACATATGAATGCGAGCTGCCATGTGGGTGTGAGGAACTGAACCTGGGTCCTTGACAAGAACAGCAAGTGCTCTTAACTGCTGAGCCATCTCTCCAGCCCTTGATCACATGTTTTTATGTTTTAAGTTGAAATTAATGCTTAGAGAATATAACTTTTAACAATGTACCATTTTAACCAACATCTTATTAAAGGACCATTCCCTCAACAAGCTTCAAGTATCAACACGGGACCAATATGCAAAAGTGGAATCCTAGAGGAAATATTTTGGATTTGAGAAAAATGTTCAGCAAACATATGCATGTCTTTGCATACGTTGCATTCAGTTCTGTGATGCACAAGAAATACAGGAAAGCAGTTCAATTTTCACCCCTCTATTCAAAAGAATTTATTAAGGAATCACCAACTAGGCATGATGGGAATATCTATAACCGTAGCACTTAAGAAGTGGAGGCAAGATGATTAGGCTCTCTTTAGCACATAGTGAGTTTGAGGCACAGTCTATGCTACATGAGATCCTGTCCCAAAAAAGGAGAGGGGACTATCCTTGTTCTGTCTAATTGAGTGAATGTCATGTTACAAAGCAAAAGTAGTACTTAGAAGAAATCAGCAGACTCATCCCTTGTGTGCTGGCTAGTTTCTGCCAACATGACTCAAGCTAGAGTCATCAGAGAGGAGGGAACCTCAACTGAGCGGATGCCTCCATAACACCAGGCTATGATCAAGCCTGTAGGGAATTTTCTTAATTAGTGATTTATGGGGGAGAGCCCAGCCCAAGATGGGTGAGGACACCCCTGGGATGGTGATCTTGGGTTGTATAAGAAAGCAGGATGAACAAGCCATGGAGAACAAGCCAGTAAGCAGTACCTTCCATGGCCTCTGCCTCAGCCCCTGCCTCCAGCTTCCTGCCCTGCTTGAGTTCCTCACTGCTTTTGACAATGAACTGTGATATGGAAGTGTAAGCCAAATAAAAGCTTTCCTCCCCAAATTGCTTTTGGTCGTGATGTTTCATCACAGCAATAGTAACTAAGACACCTCGGCTGCTCAGTACTAACTTTCTAATGGCTCCATACTAGTTAATAGGTAATCATAAGCTATTCATGGGCTAAAGTCTATACATACTTTCTGAAGACCAGAGGACTTGAGCTGGTAGATTGACTTCCTTATGCTATAGTGAGAAACCATCACTTGTATCAGTGGCTTTACATAGTGGCTTCAAACAGCACAGTGTAATGGTAAGTAAGGGAGTCCACAAAAGCATGAATAGAAGAATATCAAATATCTACTTGGGGAACACTCACACAATAAAGGCAGAGAACTACCAGTCTTCTGCCCTGGGGGCGCAGGAAGCTGCGATCAGATCTACCCCCAGCACCCAAGAGCAAGATCCTGCATCTTCTCTCCCTTATCAGTTCACATGTAGTACCTGAGATCATACCTTGATGGACTGGTACCCCAAAGGCTATTGGCTGAATGAGTTCCTACAACAGCACGACTCCCTTAGGTTTCTGGAAACCAGAAGTCTACACGGGTCTTTCTGATTAAAATCAGCTTTTCATCGGGGCTGTGATCTGTGTGGAGGCTGTAGAGGAGACACTGTCTTTGTCCTCTGGGTCCTAAAGACCTCTTGCATTTTTTGGCTCATGGCCCTTTCTCCTTCTTCAAAGACCATTTTTCTAGTCTCCATATTTTGTCACATCTCCCTCCCGTCTTGGCCCTCCTTGGAGTGAGATTAGCCACACCCAGAAAATTCACCATCACCTCCCCGTCTTCAGACCCTCAACCACCTCTCCACAGTGCCTTTAACCACATCAGGGGACATAATCACAGGTTACAGGGACTGGGGTATGGACACCTTGGGAAAGGAGGAATTACTTGGTCTACCACTGATGGGTAAGATTTGGGAAAATGGAGAAAAAGAAATTGTGATAGAGCATGGAGAGGATGTTTGCATATTTGCCTTTCTTGGGAGTAATTCCAAGATAAAATGTCAAGCCTGCCCCCTCTTTTCCTTTGAGAGGGGTACAGGGACCAAGGGCGGTAATGTGTTGTCTCCACTCTTCATTTTGACTGGATTGCTTGTCTTTTATTCTATTCCTCTTGGGCTTGTACTGCGGGACCTTAGAAATGGCCAGGTGAGGGACTGGAGAGATGGCTCAGAGGTTAAGAGCACTGGATGTTCTTCCAGAGGTCCTGAGTTCAATTCCCAGCAACCACATGGTGACTCACAACCATCTATAATGAGATCTGGTGCCCTCTTCTGGCCTACAAGCATGCGTTCAGATAGAATACTGTATATATAATAAATAAGTCTTTAAAAAAAAGAAGAAGAAATGGCCAGGTGAATCTTGTTATGATGGTTACATCAAGAACATTGTTAAGAAGAAATATCTCCTACATTCTCTTACCCCTCAGGAGAGGACATTTCTCTTAAGCCACAATACTAGGAATACCATCTGGTCTTTGGAACATGTGACTTGCTTTCAATGTGTGGAGGTGGTGATCCTGTGACCAGATGTTTCCCAGTCTTTACTAACATTGAGGGCCAGTGTTCCGAGGTTTGTTGGTACCAGTCAATCACAACCCCTACCATTCAAGGCTGGAAACTGACTAACGGGAGACTCAAGAGTTCCAGGCATGCATGTTCAGTATTAGCTGTATCGTTCAAACACATGCTCTGTGAACTTTGATGGACAGATAGGTTGTGCATCTTTAGCTCAGGAAGATCTGCAGGCATTGTAAGCCTCATCCGCACTTGCAGATGTGTTTGAGGGCCTGCCTTAAGCAGATCTCCTCCATATCCGAGGGTGTGCTTTATCTCACAGATAAAACACAGAAATACGGAAAAGAACGCATCTCCCAGTGCTGACCGGATGTCTTATTGTCAGCAAGGAGAAAAAGAATACATGTCTTGGAGTTCCTTCCTGAAGAATGGAGACCTCCATCACTTTTATGCCAACCTTGACAGCAGAGATGTTGCCAATCCTTCTCATTTTAATTTTTAAGAAAGTAACCTGCGGCTGAAGACATGAATCACTCACTAAAGTACTTGCCATACAAGCACGAGGATCCAAGTTTGGATCCCCACCACCCATGTTAAAAACTGGACAAAGACAGGCTGATCCTGGGAGGCCAGCCAGCTGCCACAAAAACAGTTAGCTTCAGGTTCACCCATCTCCTTTCTCAAGGCGATAAGGCAGAAAGTGCTAGAGCAGGACACACCCCGTGGCCCTTTCTGGCCTCTGCAGGTGTATCCATGGGAGCATGTACAGACACATGGTCAAAAAATTATTAATAAAACGTCTAGATTTTTTTCTTTAATTAGGAAAAAGTGTTTTGGCCTTAGAGTCTTAAGCACTCTGTCACCAAACCTTCTCATGGAGCACTGTCAGTGCCATTCAGAGTCCTTCTCCACCGACACCTCACAGGGTCACTTCCATGGTCCCTCCTAACGTGATAGGACCTCTTTGCACTCATCTCTCTCCATCGCGTCACTCTGCTGTCTTCACAGCATGGACTACCTTCCGAAACGATCTTGTTCATGCTTCTGTTGGCCACCCATTGTCTTCCCTTTCCAGAATGTGGAAACACCCAGGTTCCAGAGAACAGGGGTTTCTCTTATTGTCCTTTATCATCTCCCCAGCACTCAGCAATTCTTACTGGTGAATGAATGAGGGGTGTTCCCTGAGCTCCCAGGTGCCCCACATGCATTGAATTCCAAGTGTTAACAGTGCTCCCTTCTGCTATCCACCCATTACTGTCTCTTTTTAAAAGATCTCTCTCTCTGTGTCTCTGCCTCTGTCTCTCTGTGTCTCTGTCTCTGTCTCTCTCTGTCTCTCTCTCTGTGTGTGTGTGTGTGTGTGTGTGTGTGTGTGTTTACTTTGTACTATGTACTGTGTATATTTGATGCAGGTACCCAGGGAACTGAGATTCTAGGTAGTTGTGAAGCTCCTGACATAGGTGCCCGGGAACCAAACCCAGGTCCTCAGCATGAACACTGAGTGCTTTGACCTACTGAACGGTCCCTCCAGCCCCCCTTCCCAGTTTCTTTTTCTATATCCTCTTCGCCTTCAGTGGAATCCCTCAGTGCTGTGTCCGAACCGCTGATGGGCCAGTATTTTGCACTTATCCAAACCACCACATTAGGTAGCTTTGTGGGAATGACACTCAGCAAATACATTTTAACAAATTCATTTTCAAGACCTCAACTGCCCTGGATGAGACAGGACTGATCTCAGAGTCTAAACTGGGGCAGCAGATTCTGAGACTCACCTGGGAGAGTTAGGGATTCACAAGACGTCTCGAAATGTTTATCAGTGTTGGGGAGCTGCAGCAGATTTTGATGCTATTAGCTGTGCTTTCTGTCGCACTCTGTCCCACCCTGCTAATGGGTGTCCCTCCTGGAACTTGTTTGCTGCTTCTCCCTCGGTAAGCCCTGTGTTCAGTTCAGTCCATGGATGATTGGCAGGATGGTGGAGGGAAGGAACCTGTAGGAGCTGAGGTAGAGCAGAGCTACAGGCAGAAGGAGCAGAGCTTTCTCTCCCACTCCTTAGCTTGTTCTGGACTCACAGTATTGAATTCTCTGTGTGCCAAAGGTAGTTAAGGGAAATTGGAGGTTTTGTGTCCATCAGGGGGACTAGGGTGTGGCTTGTTTGAAAGTTAGGAGAGCTGCCAGTGGTTCTCTCTCCTAAATAGGTGCTGAAAATCCAC